CTGATATTTATGCTTTTTGAGGCCCTGTTTTTGACTTTCCTTTAAAAACTCTGTTGCCTCTTGGTTTCTATGAGTCTGTCTTTCACACAAGGAGAGTAGGGCTTGGCTTCTCAGAGCAGTGCTTGGCAAGCACAGAGGCAGGAAACGCAGAAGGGAATGAGTCTGTCAGACTCATTTTCTTCTAGTTCAAATGTTTATTTCAGATTTGGGAGGAAGTGGAGTGGTTCCTTTCCATTTCCTTGTTTCTGGAACCTGCGAGTTGTATAAGGCTTAGAGAATCTCGCTCTACCGCACATCATACTCACAGGTTCACAGATGGAGAAAGAGACTTTTTTCAGAAAAACTCTGGTTTGAATCAAGCAGAATTCATCGCTCTCCATGCCCTTCCAGGATCAACTCTTATGGGTTTAGACGGGAGCTTTGAACAGGACGACTGAAAGCAATGCAGAGAACAAGGCTGGTAGGCTCAGGAACACACTACCAAGGGGCAAGGGCCATGTCTGGACTGACATTTGTTCCCAGTCCTGCCACGTGGCACACCGGAGGCCACTGCTCAGCTGGAAAGGTCTGACATAATTTGTGAATGCCACAGTGAGATCTGGTCCTGAGCCTACTTTCTAGGAGACTTACCGTGTCTAACACCAGGATGGAGTTTCAGCAACAAAACTTAAAATATCTATTTTAGTAATGAGCTGATTTCAACCTTAAACATGCTGACTTTTCTAATCCATACTCTGATCTCTCTCTTTAAGCCAAGCTTTTTATCTCGCTGCACTCACCAGCTCAGCTCTGCAACTTGTTTTATTGTCTATGCAATTGACACAGGTCATTTTTAATGCCAAATGCAGACCATCAGAAACCAAACTAGAAAATCTTGCGGTGCGTTTACTACTAAACTCTAACAGATGTGCCTGAATCTAACTGTAGGCATCAGACTGAAGCATAATTTTAGGTACAAATTACTTACTAAGAATATTTACAGACAGAAAATTTCTTCAGCAAAGGGGACCCTAAGACATTTAACATAGATTACTTCGTAGTTTAACAATTGATAAAGAAGCCAAATATTGTAAATGTATTAATTATGGTTTGTTTAGGAAACTTTCCAGGCCAGAGAACTTGATCTAATCACGCTGGTTTTGTCAACGAGCTTTAAAAGATAAAAACCCTATTCATTATCTCCACTCACAGTGTAGATTTTTCTAGCTGCATTACTGTTTAGTAACCACTAATGACATTCACTAAGATCTATGTGCACTATATTTACACTTACGCATCTATTTATACTCATACATCTAATAGTACAAACTAGTTTTTATATTATATCTATCATGTTCTGAATGAACTACTAAAACAAATGAACCCTTCCATATATCGTAATTGCCTCCCAACATCCATTTATTATGATACATGTAAGGTAACAGTATATTTACATTAGATACAATCACAATATTCACTTTAGAAACCAAAAGTAGTCAAAATAGAAATTGCATTTTAAAAAATTCCCTCTTTTGGTTGCTAATTAAATAAGGCATACTGATTGTAAGTACAGTGAAGTAATGAGTTGTTTTAATCAAGGAAAAAAACCCAAGATGAAGGGAGGAAAAAGAAAGGAAAAGATAAAAGAAACATTGTAAAGGTCTTAATGAGACAAACATTTCTACTTGAAGATATTTTCACTGAAGTACACTCGAAGCAAGTATGCCAAGTCATGTACTTTTCACACACAAAATTATATTGTATCAAATTTAAATTTGTTACAACTGCCATGTACATTAAACCAGTGATAACGAAAATGTAACTCAATATCTGATCTAGTGAAACAGCAACCAACATTAGCTCCCAGCCACATGAAGACAATCTCCAATGCCATTACTGGTGTCAGCTAAACTTCAGCCAGTTTGTCCTCTCCAGCCATTTTTAAATAAATATGTGACTATCTCAATTAGGAAACGAAGGAAGTCCCTATGAGGAGGAAATTTTGTTGCTCATTCTCAGTGCCCTGCATTTGCTGTACTTAAAATAGACACTTGTACCAATGTCCTTTCTATTACCCGAAGGGGAAAAAAAATCACATACACACCAGTCCTTTTTCTTTCAGCTCGCAGAGAAGCAACTTGATCCGACCAGTGTTGAAACCTGAGTAGGTCACTGTACACCATGATAAAATTCCCTAATCCCTGAGCCAAATCTCCCTAAGGGGGGCCTCCTCCTGATCCTCCACTTCTCAGGCTGACTTTTCCATTCGCTCTCTCCTCTTCCACCCCCCTCCCTTCATTTCCCCTACCTTCAAGCCTTGATATGTGATCCGTGGTGGGGGCTCAGGTTTCCGTTTTTACAGCTTAGGCCGTGCTAGCTGTATACATTCCTTTCTTTCTGCCGGGCAGTGATTACTTACCAGGGCTTAGTTTACACTGGTCCAGATGAAAGCCGTTCAGATGAAGGCAAACACAGCCAGGCAGCTCCACGGCACCGATATGAAGCTGCACAAGGCCACATTGTGTTCTCAGTGACATTTTGTTGCACATATTTTTATACAGGGCAACCAACTTGTTATGTTACTCTACACTTTAGATGGAGTGGTAATAATACCATGAGGTTCGGGGAGGGGTTTTATTGATGTGGTTATTAATATTAAAAGCAGGAAAGCTTTAATAAGCTTGAAATAATCCTTCTACCTTTTGTCTACAAGAAATAACTTTTATAAAGAAAATGATTAGTGCTATTATATAAAAGGGATGCCTACTAAACAATTGCACTAGAAATGGGATTTCATGATTCACTGGCATCATGAGCATTGACATGACTGAAGATTTCATCCAGGGGTCTCTTATACATTGTTCCAAACCAGAGAGAAAATGTGGATGCTACAAGCAATTGCTTTCTTTGCTGGCTAAAACTTCTTATTTAATGCTACTATGCATTAAAACGATAAGGATTAAAACTTCAAATAGGTGGTGATTTAGAAGAAAAATATAACATTGTCGGGAAATTCTGTGCATGAAGGTTAATTCCATACTTAGTCCCGCAGCACTGCCTAAAAATTGTGTAATTTTTCCTTTCACACAATGTTGTTTTTGTTTCTTCCTCACCAGTTCAGACAAACATCTGTTATACTGTAGAAGGACAACTATCTCCCAAACCACGGAGTGCGCCCGCAGCCAAAGTCAACAACGCGAGCCCCAAGCATCCAGCACAGTCAGCCTTTATATCCAGTCGGGATAACATTTCACATGTTTTGATTAAAATTAGCTAATTTGTAATTCTAGAACCTATGAAACTTAAAAGCTGCCATCCATATAGATCACATTAGGCAGTGTTTTAAAGGGCCAGTGCACACTGTGATTTCCTGGTGGCTTCGCCTTTTTCCTCTTCCTCCACCCACAATTTAAAATGAATGGAAAAGTAATCTAGAAATGCAGGACAAGAGGGAAGGGCAAGTGAGGAAGAATGGTTATGGTAGACTGTTTGAATCCCACCCCCTTCAGAAAACAATTCTTACTGGTCTTTTTTATTTAAAACAAAAACAAAAACAAAAAACAACAAAAAACTGTCTATCATTGGAGTCAATGGGGGTTTCTATCACAAGGAATGGAACTGACTTCCGAGGCAAATCTTCCTTAACTCTCAGGACTGATGTTACACCTCATGCTTCCAAGCTCTAAGTTCCTCACCCAGACATAAAAACCCTAATTCCAAAATTTAGATTGTCTGGAAATTTCCTGGAGGTACACATATAAGCCCCTTTCTAAGCATGGGCTTCATACGAGGCACTCTCACTGAATATGCTTGTTCCAATCAAGAAAACATCAAAATGCAATAAATCTGACTTAGTTGCGTGTCATTTTCATCCAATTTGTCTTTTAAATACAAACTTAAGTCAACTGGCAGTGCTAAGAATTCTATGCAGAAGATGGGGAGTACACCAGGACGGCCACAGAATGAAAACTAAAGACCTCCAAAATCTGCTACTTGTTTGTAACGCACAGAAAGGAAAACACATAAATAATATATTTTTTAAAAATCGAGAGAGACTCGTGAAATCAACACAGAATAAAATCCTAGCTGGACAAAAGCTGCAACTTCATGGAAAAGACGGGGCGAGGGGGGCGGGAGAGACGAGGGTGGTCAGGAGCTGAGTGGTGCTCTTGTGCAATCGCTCCAACGTGAACAGCTGGAGCGCCAGGCTGCTGCGCTCGCCACCTCTGGCGCACCGCTGGCCTGGCGGGGAGCCCGGCCTCGCCGAGAGGACTCCGGGGTTGGCCTTTCCAAACAATGGGCAGGCGCTCTGAGAAGGCCGCCCCTCACACAGCTATCTTTCAGCGAGGCTTGCCTGGGTCTGCTTAACTGGGAAGTGAAGCATGCAAAAGCGAGCGGGAGGCGGCGGCGGCCGAGTGAGAGGAGCCAGCAGGGTCCAGAGAGGCGAGTCCGCCGTCAAAACGGTACCCAGCCCCGAGCCGCTCGGGCCGTGACTCGCCCCGACACTGACAGCCTCTTTACACCGTCACAGCTGGCTACTTGGGAGGAAGCGGGATCGAGAGGCGGAAAGATGAGCCAGCAAGAGGGGTGGAATCGAGCGCTCCTGGGGTGCCTCGCCCTGCAGCTCCTAACTTTGGAGGGACCGAAGGACGGTTCCCGAACAAGCGGAAAAAAACTACACCGCAGACTAGTAAAGCCTCTTCACCATGCCCAGCCGCCACTCGGGCTCCCGGTCCCCTCACCCTGAAACGCGCCTGTGCCAACCTGGGGTTTATAAGGTTAAATAGCGTGTGGTTTCCCGGTCTCCCCCCGCCCGCCCCCCCCAATCGAATCGGAGGTAGGCAAATCCCGGGGATGCAGGCATTGGCCTCCGTTTTGCACCTGGAGGAGGAGCTGAGGCATTCGGGGCATCCTACAGAAACTGACGAGCGCTCCCCGGAACCCCCAAATCCATACAACCGCCCAAAGGTAGCGGGCGGAAGAAAGAGCTCTGTCTCTCCAGCCCCGAAGTCCAAAAATACCTTCATTTCCTCATTGATCTCCCTTTTCACTGGGTGAGCCGGTTTCCTGCTCCTTTTATTTTCCGGAGGTCTCCCTTCTTTCTCCATTTCTGCCATGTTTTTGTGTCTGGTTTCTGCGGAGATGAAATGGCTGCTGCCGCCGCCGGCGGTGGTGGTGGTGGTGGTAGTGGTGGTGGTGGTGGAGGTGGTGCTGATGGTGGCAGTGCTGGCGGAGGTAGCGGTGCTGGCGGGGCTGGG